GTCCGGGCGGGGGGCCCCTGTGCGGAGGGGGAGGGGCGCAGCAGGGTCGGTCTCGCCTCCCCCTCAAGTCAGGGAAGCCCAGGCCCGGGAGGGTCTCTCGTCACAGTTCCCACTGCGGTCCGCACTTCCGGAGTCCCTCGAGTAGCGACCGGCCCCTGGACCCGAGAGGGAGAAACCGAGCCCGAGTCGCCGCCGCCGCCGAACGCCCTTCCGCTTCCGCCTCCCCGGCCGGCAGCGCCGTACGTCACGCGCCGTAGGACGTCACGCGCCCGCGAGGCACCCTGGGAGTCGAGTGTGCGGGACCCATTGGCCGGGCGGCTCCCGTGGGGCAGCGCTGCGCGCCGCAGGCGGGTTGGCTCGAGCAGGGGCGCGGGTGTCCCTGTGCAGAGGGGGAGGGGCAGTGGGGCCCCGGGGTGAGGCGGGGCTGGGTGCGGAGCGGGGGCTCCCGGGGGTCCCTGTGCAGACGGGGAGGGGTGCAGTGGAGTGGACGCCGGGGTGCGATGGGGCCGGGTGCGGGGGGGCTGGGTGTGGAGCGGGGAGCCTAGCGGGGTGAATGCTGCCCGCTGGGCGCTCCGGGCTAACCTCTGCTCCACCCCACAGGGAGGCTGTTCCAGACCCGCCCTCAGGATGAAGGACTCGCTGTCGCTGCTCGCCCGGATCCCAGCTCACCCTGACTCTCGCTGCTGGTTCCTGGCCTGGGACCCCTCTGGGACCCTGCTGGCCTCCTGCGGGGGAGACCGCAGCATCCGCATCTGGGGCAAGGAGGGTAGGGAACCGCTGCCAAGTCGGGCCTGCGCTGTTAGCTGGTGGGTGGGGACCCAGCTCTGTCCCAGGAAGGTGAAATCCCAGCTGCTCCTGGAGTCTCCTGGGTCCAGGGAGCCCATGGGCTGCTGCGTCCCGTAGTGCCTTGGCCATAGGCAAAGCTATTTGTGAGCGGGGCTGAGAAGGGAGCTCTGGCTGCCAAGCCTCCCGCTCTTCGCTCATCTCTCTCTTGTCCTCTGCCCTAGGGGATGGCTGGGTGTGCAAGTCGGTGCTGGGCGAGGGGCACCAGAGGACCATCCGGAAGGTAGCCTGGTCCCCGTGTGGGAGCTACCTGGCTTCAGCCAGCTTTGATGCCACCACCTGTATTTGGAAGAAGAGCCAGGATGAGTTTGAGGTACAGCTGTCTCCACAGGGCTGAGTGTAGAGGATGCTTGTGGAGTCAGTGCTGGTGTCAGGTGCTGATTTGAGTGCCCTCCAGAAGTATCAATAGAACTCAGAGAGCAGCAGAACACACATTCTCCCCCGCACACCCTGCTACTGTGCCCCCTGCAGATGCAGTGGGTGGCCCCGGATTGCTGTCTGTCTGCATCTTAGTGATCGTCCATCAGTGAGATGTCAGTTAGAGCTGAGCACAATATTTATTCATTGACAATTTAGTGTCACTTGACCCAAAATGATTCGTGAATTTGACACACATTCACCAAATAGTTCCATCCCAAAACCTTTCTGAGATGTAGGCGCCATTCACCAAACTGGAGGAGGTGCTGCATCCCTTGTAAGCTTTAGGCAATGGCTAGGGCCCTCCCCTCCAATTCCACCATTGCAGGGGTGGTCTCCCCTAGATTCAATTCCCCTCTCTGTTTGGTGTGAGTGCCCTAGTCACTGGGCTGTGGATCTCTCGCTGTCTCGCCTGTTAAAGTTCTTCCATTGTGGATAACTAGTCATTGGAGCAGGGTGGGTATCCTGCCACCCAGGTGGGTACCCTGACCACCAGTGTCTTTCTCACTGGCCCAGTGACTGAGTATTTTGTAAAAAGTGGTACAGAACCACCGACAACCATACACACACCCCAGCCCACTTTGTAGATCTTAATTTCTTTTGCAGGGCTGTTGAGGAATGATGAGAAATACATTAAAGATTGGGAAATGCTTTGACCAGTACTGATGAACAGCATTATATAAGAGCTAGGTGGTGGTATGTGAAAAAGTGCTGCAAATCAAAACAGTTTGTTTTGGGTTGAACAAAATGTTTAAACAGTTTCTGGTCACTTTTTCAATTCGCTGGAATCTTGCAAAATTTTCAGATTTAGTTTGACCCAAACCATTCCCCCCCCCCGCCCCCCCATTTGTTAGAACTGCAGCAAACTGAAAAATCAGTTATTTGTCCAGCTCTAGCATCAAGCACGTTTCCTAGGCAGGGTGCTGTCTGAAATACGGTACTCTGGATTGTCCTCTGGGGGTGCGGGCTCTGGGGTGGGGCTTTGGATGAGGAGTTGGGGGTGCAGGAGGGTGCTCTGGGCTGGGACGAAGGGGTTCGGAGGGCGGGAGGGGGATCAGGGCTGGGGAAGGGGGTTAGGGCGCGGAAGGGGGTCATGGGTGCAGGCTCCGGGCGGTGCTTACCTCAAGCAGCTCTCAGTAGCAGCAGCATGTCCCCCCTCCGTCTCCTACTCAGGCGCTGCCCTTGCAGCTCCCCTGGCTGCCCCTACGTATAGGAGCCAGAGGGGGGACATGTCGCTGCTTTTGGGAGCTGAGCGGGGCAAGCCCCCGACCCCACTGCCTGGCGAGAGCTCGAGGGCCGGATTAAAATGTCTGGAGGGCTGGATGTGGCACCCAGGCTGTAGTTTGCCCACCCCTGTCCTAACCTCTTGTAATAACTGGCTAAGCCGTGAACCCCTTCCAAAATGCATGAGTATTAACTATTCTAATGCTGGATAATCTTGTTCTTCATATAAATGTCCAATCTCTCATAGAACTAAGCAATACTCATGGCCTCAGTGGTATCCCTTAGCAGGGAGTTCCATGGGCTAATCACTGCTTGTGTGAAACAACTTCTCCTTCGATCACTTTTGAACTTGTCCTCTTTCAGTTTCATTGAGTGTCCCTTTTTCTTGTGATCAAGAGCCTGCAAGGAGATCTCTAGGGCGTGGCTTGAAATGGGAACATATATTCATAAAGACGCAGAGTTTCCAATTTAGTACTAGATTCCCCACTCTCGGCGGATGGCTGGCCCAGTACCTCTGGGGGCAGCTTCCCTACAAGACATGGAGTTGCAGTTGGGTGCATATGGGATGAGTGCAATGGGGTTACAGCAGGGGGGATGTGGGCTGGCATGTGGAGCTGCGTTGAGTGTTCCCATAGAGTCTGTTTGAATTCCTGGCTGCAGGTCTTCCTGGGAGGAAGGTTTCTCTCTGTCCCCAGCTGCAGGGGCTCTGAATCGCTTATGGTGGGTTGTCTGAGCTCTCCTTGTTCTGCTTTCAGCGAGTCACTCAGCTCTTCTCCTGCTCCCTCTGGGCCCCCTTGGACCAATGGGGACACTGGGATCATGTGGCAGAGCTGGGCTCCTCCCTCCCTGGGGCTGGCTTAAGCACAAACTCCTTCTCTCCCTCTGATAGTGTGTGACCACCCTGGAGGGACATGAAAACGAGGTGAAGTCCGTATCCTGGGCCCCATCCGGCAGCCTCCTGGCCACCTGCAGCCGAGACAAGAGCGTCTGGGTCTGGGAAGGTGAGAGACAGGTCTGAAGTGGGGGGGGAGGGGGCCAGGAGCACCATGGGAGATATGTGGGGAACCAGGTTTGACGGCTCTCAGGACTGAGAGTCATCTTGTTACCCCGTATCTCCGGCTTGCCCATGGTGCCTGGATGTTAGTTCCTGGACACCGCCAGCCTTTCAGCCGCTCTCTCTCCTCTGGGCTAGGCTAACAATCTGCCTTGCAGGTTAACAAGAGGTGCACCCTAGTCTCCAAGTCCCTTTGAAGTATTCCTCTGATATCCAGCCCCTGACACTGGCTACTTACAGAAATCCTGTAACTTCTGCCCCCAAAGGAGCAGGTTACTCCAGTTTGACCTTAAATCACCACTCCTGTACAACACATAGCCCTTGTGAACACTTCTAATAAAACGAAAGAAGGTTTATGTAAGAGTAAAGATTCCACCAGACACAAAGCCGAGTGGTGGAAACAAATGGTTAAAATGAAACCAAAACTATAAACCATGCACTAGGACCTACATTTATTAACAGTTCCCTTTTCTAGCTAATAAGGGAGGTTGTGTCCCCCGTCCCCCCTGAAAAGTTCAGTCTCTGGCAGAGCTGGCTGCTTCTCAGGAGCCAGGATCCACATGTTCATGACAACACCCCTGCTCTTCAAGATGAGTGTCTTTCCTACTGAATCAGTCTTTGGTCTCTGTTCACAGCTGGGGTGCTGTCTGTTACAAGGTTTTCTTTTTCCCTCCACGTGGTTTTGATTGCAGTTGACTTTGATGCTTTTCCCTTGACTGATCTGGGAGGGGGCAAGGGTAGACAATTGACTCTTGCATTACATCACCAGCCAACCAGGCATGGGTGACAGCGTCCTGCTGCTGGAATGGGCTGTCACCGAGATGCATGGTTCCCTGGTGGCTGACTTTTACTCCAAGATCATAAATCACAATTTTCAATATAGTTCTGTTATTCCTTAACTATTGCCCGTATGTACATCGTGCAATGAGTATCGATAAGTTACAAGCTTTCAGTAGAGACCTCACATGCTACCATGATATACCGTGGACCTGAGTTTGTCAGGTCTGAGACACGAGTTACTTGTCAAGAACAGTGAACCGTTGGCACCGATGAGCCTGTGTCACATCAGGCGTGTCAAGAAACATGAGGCAGGACCATGGGTGGGAGGCTGGGACCTGAGACCTGGAGGATCATGGGAGAGATGTGGGCAGACCAGCTGGGTCTGGGAAGGGGCGGCTGAAGGACTAAGGGGCAGCCCTGTTATCTGTGCTGACCTATTTAGGTTGGGTGCTGCAGAGCCAGGGCTTCCCCTTTGCCCCTCCGTTGGGCAGTCACAGGGATGCAGAAGGGTACTGGGCAGAGTCCCTGGCTGCGTTCACCCACAACCCCTTCTCTCTCACAGTGGACGAAGAGGACGAATACGAGTGTGTGAGTGTCCTGAACGCCCACACGCAGGATGTCAAGCACGTGGTCTGGCATCCCAATCAGGAGGTGAGGGCTCTCCCCAATGGCCTCCCTAGCCCCCTCATGTGCTCCCACCCAGGTCTTCAGTCGCTCCAAACATCTGCTGTCCTGCTGCAGTGCCTGTTGTTGCTGTGATCCGAGGCAGGTGCCAAAGGTGCTGGGAGTTGGTGGTGCAGCTAGAGCTGGGAGAGGCATCCACTGGGTCTGATTCTGGGCAGAGGCACAAAGGTGATCAGCTGACTGGCTCCCTTTTACCCAGCTCCCTGAGCAAGAGGCATACAGATTCCCCCCAACCCTGCCACCGGAGGGCAACCCTGCCCTAGAGGGAGCTCTGCCGTTCTGGGAAAAAGGGGGGCTTCAGGCTTGGCTCCCCAAGGCCATGTTCCTCTTAGCCTGTCTCTCTCCTTCCAGCCTGGGGGGGATCTAAAGGCCACATTTTCGGTGGGTATCGAGGTCCCGTGTGCTGCCCCCCATCCTGGATCTCCTGATCCTGAGCTCATTTGTGTTCCGCCTTTCCCCCATCAGCTGCTGGCATCAGCCAGCTATGACGACACGGTGAAGCTGTACCGCGAAGAGGAGGATGACTGGGTCTGCTGTGCCACGCTGGAGGGACATGAGTCCACGGTGTGGAGCCTTGCCTTCGACCAGAGTGGGGAGCGCCTGGCCTCCTGCAGCGATGACAAGACCGTGCGCATCTGGCACCAGTACAAACCAGGCAATGAGCAAGGTGAGCAGGGCAAGCTGGGGGCAGAGTCTCTTATCCCAGGAGCCACTCCTACCCCACTGCCATCCTGGGAGACTGGAGCACTAGAGAGAGAGCGGTGCGTTGGTACCGTCCCTAGTATATACAGCTGCGGAAATGGGAGAGGATTTGCCCAAGGTCACACAAGGAGTTGGTGGCAGAGCTAAGAATGGAAAGCAGGACTCTGGACTCCTTGTCCCCTGCTCTAACCATTAGACTCACTCCCCTTTATATGTAGCATTGGTCTGGGTGAAGCTGGTTGAGAGCAAGGGACAAACAGCCCTGGCTAGTCAGACAAATGACTCAGGAAAGTGCTGTGCCAGCTTCCCCTGAAACCTCTGCCAGTGCACATATACCCTGGCAAAGGTAACCCAAACCCTCTGCATCTCTGAGTCAGGCCCAACTGGCACCTGTGCCTATATGGGGAGTAGACCAGCCTCCAAGGAAACCTACCTGTGCTTTGCTCATCTCACCCCTCATTCTGGAGCAACCGAATCTGTGACTGTCACGGAGTCGCCGGGGCAATGCTCTTGGAGGACTCCCTACGAAGCCAGTCAGGAATCTGGGGGAGCCTCCTTTCTCTGAGCAGACTGTCGCCAGGGCAAGAAGCTTCCACAGCTTTGATCTTCCTGGGTCTGACCCTGGAGCATTCAGCTTCCCCTGCCCCTCCGTGCGCTTCCCACAGCGAGTCCGCCAGTGTGGGGCTCCTGGGGAAGCCAGAGGGCCCTGCAGCCCCACTCCACAGTCAGCAGAGACTCGTCTCAACCAGTATAAAACGGAAGGTTTATTAGTGGAGAGGAGCACAGCGTAGAACAGAACTTGTTAGCACAGAAATCAGTGACTTTCAGCCATGTCCATCTTGGGGGGAATCCCGGGCCAGATGCCCTGGACTCCCCCTCCAGTTCCCCCAGGCAGACTGCCCAGCTTCCAGTGACCTGTCCTCAGGCACCCCCCTTTACTCCTCCTGGTCTTGTCTTGCTTCCCAGGCAAAGTGTCTCCTGGTTGTCATCTAGTGGCATCCTCACCTGCCCCCGAGGGTCTAGCAAAAGTCACACACCCTTATTCCCACCACATAGGCATTGGTGGAGCACACTGGGAAACTGAGGCACATGCAAAACAGTAAAACTCACATAGGCTCAACAGTAAGACTCACAGGCTCACATACAAGATAAGAAGGGAAAATCCCCACTTCGTCACAGTGACACATACTGATTTACGTTCACTTATTGCCACGGGGATGCTTGGTCCAGAGCTACAGACTGGGTGCCCCGATGGTCCGGTGTTCATTGCTCTAGAGTCCAGGCAGACTTTCCCCATGTGCTGAAACAAAGACTGCACTGCCCCTACCCATCAGGCCCTGGGGCACTGCTAGCGTGACCCAATGTCTTCCCTTCTTGGGCCAGAACTGGAACCCGGTAGCAAGTGCTGCTCGTGCCTCTGCTGCACGCTCTGCAGGCAGAACTGCTCTGATTGCTGTCTGGTGTATTGCAGGGGTGGTCTGCAGCGGCGCTGACCCCAGCTGGAAATGCATCTGCACTCTGTCTGGCTTCCACACCAGGACCATTTACGATGTGGCATGGTGAGCCTGGGCCTTGGAATGCTCAGTCCAATCCACACTCCATGGTGGGAGGGGTTTGTCCTGCAGGGACCCCTGAATACTTGTGTGAGATTCACTCCCAGGGCGCTGGGACTGCAGGCCACGCACTGACTGATGCAGCTGAGTCCCTGCCTGCCAGAAGCTGCTTCACATCACTCCTGTCCTTGAAGCATGATGGGAATTTCGGGGTCTGGCCAACACCCGTGCAGTGGGGCCATGATCAAGTTAGCACAGTGGGTAGTTCCCACAGCACCACCAACCTGCTAGGCCAGAAGGAGCTCCAGTTCTGGGGCCTCTCATGTAGCTGTAGGTCACCAAGCAAGAGCATATTGCCACTGAACTGTTCTGAGTGCTGGAGGACTTGACTCCAGCTGCTTCCAGCCCAGGACCCCTCCCATTTAGCGGTGGGAGAGTGGCAGGAATGGTCAGCCCCCCACTGTCAGATGTTTAAAATAGCGCTGTCTCAGCGCAGTGGAGAGACCTGAGTTTACTCCTGGGGAATTCTGCGCCACCACCCAGTGCAGAATTTGCACAGAATTAATGTTCTGTGCAAAATTTCATTTTTTTCCTGCAGAACTGGAGCGGCTGGCTGCCTCTAGGAGCCACTATTTCCCCAGCTCGCACGGGGTGGGCGGGTTGTGGTTCCTGGGTTTGCCAGCCCCGCTCAGTCACAGGGTGCGGCTGGGCCCCCTTCCTGCACGGGAGGCCAACAAACTGCGTCTCCTGGGAAGAGGCAGCTGGGAGCTGCAGGGAGGGGCTGCTGCTGCTTTCTGGGAGGGGAAACTGAGGGTAAGGAGAGGGCTGCGGGGGGGGCCAAACCTTTACACTGTGCCCCCCTGCTATCAGCTGGTACAGGTTGTCTCTGCCCGGTGGGACATTAACGCACCTGCATGGCATGGAGCCTGCAGCTGGGCTCTTGAGGGAGGGAGGGGGGCGGGTATGGGTGTCTGGGCCGGGGGGTACCCTGCGGCTGGGCTCTGGAGGGAGGGTGGGGGGAGGGCATGGGTGTCTGGGCTGGGGGGTACCCTGCGGCTGGGCGTGGAGGGAGGTGGGGGAGGTGTCTGGGCTGGGGGGGTACCCTGTGGCTGGGCTCTGGAGGGAGGGAGGTGGGCATGAGTGTCTGGGCTGGGGGGTACCCTGCGGCTGGGCGCTGGGCTCTGGAGGGAGGGTGGGGGGAGGGCATGGGTGTCTCGGCTCTGAGGGTGAAGGGGTACAGGTGTCTGGGCTGGGGGGGCCCTACAGCCCCCTCCCAGTACACACACATCCCTCCACCTCCCCCTGGTAGTGTGCTCTATGGGGAACTTGAAATATGGGACCATATGGGTGAAAAAAAACGAGAATTGACAGAAAGAGCAGAGGGGCAGAGTTTCCCCCCAGGCTGTGCCCAGCTGGCATGTGTGACACAGCCAGACTGAGGCACCCAACAAAAACATAACAGAAAACAGGAACTGGTTGTCGTAGGGGTTTCTTTAACTCCCTACTCCTGGGGGAACCTCTTTTGTTGTCTGTATTGTTAGACGTACTTGCTGACAGGTATTTTGAAATAAATCACCAAAATAACTGAAACTGGCATCATTATGTGCTGTTATTTTGACATAAAATGTGCAGAATTTGGAATTATTTGGTGCAGAATCCCCCCCAGGAGTACGAGTTATCTGGTCCCCAGTGCAGGCTCCACCTGGCATCAACTACCTTCACCCTTCTCTCCCCCTTTCCAGGGGGCCACCGAGGCTCTTCGCTCCAATCAGTCTGTGCCCCTGGGGCTCTCAGAAGGAAACTGCCTCCACTAAGTCTGCCCTGGTTGAGGGTGGTAACCATGTGCAGTGCCTAATGCAGGGCTCATTCCACTGCTTCTCTCCTTCCTCCAGGCCTTCACCAGCTTCCCAGCTCCTTTGCCCCAAGCAGCCTCCTTGTGCTCCCCCTACCCACCTGGATCCCTGTGCCCCTCGGGCTGGTCATGCTTTGTCTGCGCTCCTTGGGGCAGGGACTGGCTTGGCTTCACCATCTCCCCCTGTCATGCTGCAGCAACGTGCAGCGAGAGAATAATCTCTGCTCACTCACTGCCCTCCGTTTGCTGCAGGTGTCGCCTGACAGGAGCATTGGCTACAGCCTGCGGAGATGATGCTATCCGCATATTTGAGGAAGAGCCGCTGTCGAGTCCCCAGCAGCCCACCTTCGCGCTGACCGCCCACATGCCCAGGGCTCACTCCCAGGACGTGAACTGTGTGGCCTGGAATCCCAAGGAGCCGGGGCTGCTGGCTTCATGCAGCGATGATGGAGAAATGGCGTTTTGGAAGTACCAGCGGCCAGAGGTTTGCTGAGAAACCCAGCAGTGCAGTGACCCCAGCATAGCCACGGGCCTGGGCCTGTTGTGTGCAGCAGCAGCCGTTAAATGTTTTGCTAAGAGAATACATGTCCTGCTGGTGGGAGGGGTAATGTTCCCTGCAGCCCTAACCTGCAAAGGGGGAAAAGAGCAGCCACTACCCCCTCCCCCCCCAGGCCTTGGATTGCTGGGGTATCAGGGTGAACCCTACCCAAGTTACTGCTAAACTAGTCTTAAAGGTAGATGAGGGTTGTTTGATTTTTTGGGGGGGGGGGGGGGGGG